GTCGTATCTGTGCCTGATGGAATAAGCAGGGCCGCTGGGAGCCTCAAGCCCGTTCACCTGCGCTGAAGCCGTCTCTGCATGTGTGCATGCATGCGCACTCAAACGGTTCGGCCATACTTACTGCAGAGAAGGATGAGGAGGTGCTGCCTCCAGGGGCTCGTTTCCAGAGGACGCCAGCAACTTCCAAACACGCAGTGCCTCAGTGCTGCAGGAAGGCAAGAGGGTGTCTGAGAGGCACAGAGGTGGGGGACCCCACATCAAGAGCCCACAGCTACACTAGTGTGCGGCAGCATGCCAGGGATTGGGGAATGGGTGAGGGAGAGAGGCCGGGGGACTCGTCCTGTCTCCAGGAGAGAGCCGGAGCAGGGTCGCTGTGGGGGTCGAGGAGAACCCCAGGCTGCCGTTTCCTGGCCTGGTCTTTATTTGACGAGGTCACATCTCGGGGGGACTGTGCAGTGGGCAGACCTGCTTTGGCCGTTGCTATGGAATACGATCCAAGTCGAAGAAGCGAAGCCACTGTTCTGTTGTGGAGTGCAATACTGGTCAGACAAGCAGGAGTAATTGTGCTTACACCGCTTTCTAGTTCAGTAAATTACATACTTACTTCGACTTAGACAAACAGGTTGTAACAGATACCGCAACATTTTGGTTCTTTCTTTAATCCAGGGGTTGACAGGTAAATTAGCCTTATGGCACCAGAGAAGTAAACTGTAGTAAAATTCAAATTCATGTCTAACACTAAACATTAGTGAAGATTAACTTCAAATTTCTGCAGAAATGACTGTAATCTAATGTAATGACAATACTAGGTGTAGTAAAAACACAGTAAGCAGTATTCTTGATTATTTGACAACAGTATGTTTTTTTTAACAGGTATCCCTCCACCAGCCATTCCAGGTGAGTCCTCTCCTGTCCTAGACAACCTGTAACAGTAGCGCAGTAGACCAAGGGATTTCCATACCCCTTCACAGGCCAGGGGAGAGTTTGGGTTTATGCATCTCGTGAAACCATTCAACTGGAACGGGTGTGGATCACAAGCTGGGCAGGGGATGCAAATTATCAAAAGAGTTCCTTGAACAGACATTTGTAGTGGTGAAATAAGGAGGTGATGCATTTATGGCTCAGAATATTTCTTTGCACCAAGGGTGGTGGGTGTCTGGAACGAGCTGCTCGACCATGTTGTTGAAGCTGATTCTGCTAGACCATTCTGAGATCCTTGCCTCTGGTAGCCCCTAGCGGCCCATTTGTGACATCTCCCAGGTGCTGTCTGAGGCAGCCCTGGATGTCCTGTGGTAGCGTGTGTGGAAGGAGTCACTCATGCTGCACTTGATCATTTCAGGCCTGTTCCCCCCACCGATGGCTCCCCCCCCAGCCCTGCTCATGCCCCCCCTGGACGGGTGAGTGTCACTGCCCCGTGCGACACTGTGTCCCAGCGCTGTGCGCCCCTGTCCTCAAGCCTCCTGTCTCTCCTCACAGGTGCCCGACCTCCGCCTACGGCAGCCGACCCCCTCCTCCCTTCGGCTACAGCTCCGGGGGTGAGTGGAGCTCGAACCCCTGCCTCTCGCTCGGGCTGCGTCCACTGCGAAGTCAGGGGATGATACATGCTGGGGGATGTTAAAAACACAGCAAGTAATATTGGTCCCCGTACTCATTTACTGATGCCTCTCGATATCTAATTTTCTATTTTTCATCGCCGAGAAGCCCGAGGGAAATTGTACCAGCTGTCGATAGAAATAGACCCTCTTGGCGCTGCATGTGGCCAAGGACAGGGGAACATTCAAAACACTCCGTCACTGTGATGTAGGCGCATTCTTCCCTCCAGTAGCTCCAGTGAGAAAGATCTGCACCAAGGCAAAAGGGTTATAATTAAATCATTAAGACGCTTGGAACCTGTCATTACAGAGTTCAGCGAGTGTGTGTTTTTCCTTCCAAAAAAACGCACGGAGCCCAGGGCAGGCTGCTGGGTCGCTCCTGGTGCCAATCTGTGGGGGGCGAGGAGTCGGCCTCTGCTGTGGAGGAGGCTGAGGCTGCACTGGCACGCCGCTGGCACTACGCTGCCCCCTCAGGCTGCCAAGTTTCCCAGGCTTCTCTTTCGTGTCGTTAATACAAAGAAACCGGAGGTTGGAGGAGCAGGAAATTCGGGGGTAGCACAAGTGGTTTAGACTTGAAGACAGGGGGTGTCCTGGGATATTAAGACTTGGTTCTCCGAATGAAGAATGAAATTGTCCCAAACTGACCGGGGGCCCCTCCTCCAGGCACGTGTTGTTGTGAAGAACTCTCTTCTCTGCAGGTTGTTTTATCGCGGTGCGTTTTTCACAGTGCTGCTGGTGATCCAGGCTGCGTTCCTGTAAGAACCTCGTCCCCCGTGGGCCTCTAGACGCGGAGGGGACCCCGGCGAGCCGAGCTCCAGAACCAGAACTCTCTTGTCTCTTGTCTCTCTCCCCACAGACTCCAGCTTCGTCAGCTACCCTCCCATCTCGACCTCGCTCACGCCTTGGGTCACCTCGGTGGAGAAGGGCAGCAGTGGCGCGGGCAGCGCGGGACACTGGGAGTACCAGGGCTCTCGGAGAGACCGGGAGCGGGAGCGAGATCGGACCCCCACCACCAGCGAGTACAGCAAGTACGGCCGCAGACTCCGCAGGGGCTGGGGGGGCAGAGAGGGGAGGGCTCGCGGCCGCAGGCGATGGGAATCTGGCCACAGGTGCCCCTTTCGGGAAAACGAATGTACTCAAGAGGCGCAAAAAAAAAACAACAACAGGATTTAGCTCATTACTCCTCAACGGGGCAGTCTGTTCCAGTCCAGACATGACGGGAGTTAGTAAGTCATTAGTCTAGACAGATCAGATGTGAGAGTGACGTTCAGCCTGCTCTCCCTGTGGCGTCACTGTTTCCTCCTGTGTGGGCGAGTGAGAGGTTGGTAAAGAGCAGAAGCGCTGTGAACTGTGGTCTGTGGAGGGAGCTGCCGCAGCGGGCGTGCCAAGAGGAGGGTGGTCCGCTGCAGCTCGGAGCCCCCCCGGGCCCCCCACGTCACCCCTGCTGCCGCCCCGTCTCCCCGCAGCGAGGACGAGCGCTACCGCTACTACAGCCGCGAGCGGAGCTGCGAGTACGAGCGGGAGTACCACCACGGCCGGGAGCGCAGCCGCGAGCGGGAGGAGCGGCACCGCGAGCGCCGGCACCGCGACAAGGAGGACGGGAGCAAGCACAAGTCCTCCCGCCGGTGAGACCGCGGGGCGGGGGCGGGTAGGGGCAGAGCACGAGAGGGGCAGGCACAAGTCCTCCCGCCGGTGAGACCGCGGGGCGGGGGGCGCGACACGGAAGAGGGGGGGGGCGTGTTTTGTTCCGGTTCCGTCGTTCGGGGGTTAAAGAGTCCAGACGTGTCGTAATTACTTTCATATCCCTCACAGGAAGTGGTCACGCTGCTGCATCTCATTCTTGAACTGGATTCGGTTGTGATGTACATGGGGGGGTGAACGGGTCGTCCACGGCGAGCAGTTTAAATCACGAGCGCTGCTATCTGGCAGAGAAAAGTTCTCGTACCCGAGTTTGACACAGTACCCAAATGAAGCTGTCCACCCTTTGGGGCAATAACAGGGGAAAACGCAGCGTTGTTTCTTTACTGCGTTTCCTGTCACCCAACCAGGAAACAGCACGACGGCGAGGAGGGAGAGAGCCACCGCAGACACAAGCACAAGAAGAACAAGCGCAGCAAAGAGGACAAGGAGGCCGCCGAGGACGGGGCGGGGGAAGGGGAGGAGCCAGACAGCAAGGAGCAGTGACTTCCTGCCGAGGCCACGCCCCCTCCAGCACACTCCGAGCATTCCCACAATCCACTGCACTCCCCCCTTCTGCCAGGCGCGCGCGGCCCTGCGGCACGTCATCCCTCCCGGCCTCGTGGGCCCTGGAAGGCGTCGGACGCCTAGTTAGCCAACCTTCCAGTCCGCGCGTCTCCGCAAGAGCCAGCGTCCACTGCCGTGAAGTGGGCTGGGCTGGGCTTCTGCTAATGAAGACTTGAGGGCTTCTTGAGAGAACAGTACACTCTATAGTATTATTTTTCATATATTGTCATGACTTCCTTAAGAAAAAAACCCAAGGCTGTATTACAGTTTTTCAGAATTAATTTTTGTATTAAAAGAGTTTGCTTCGTCTACGGTATCAGTTTTGATGACGATGATGATGATGATGGTGCTCATTCGGTCTTTCCCACCAACGGGCTGTGGGTCGAGGAAGAGAGGCTTGCGGGAAGCCACCAGTGAACTGTTTTATCACCAGCAAATGCAACCCTGTCCGTTTTGGGTGAAATTGAACAGTATTTTAAGAACTTTCATGCATGTAACACCGGCTGTTGAAGCTAAATTGCAAATACTGCGTAATTTAAACCCATCATGAGTATGGAGCTGTTTCAGTGTTATAGAAAAGGTAGGATAAAATACCTAATGGAGTCATATTTGTAAGCCTCGTTGACGAGGCATGGGTCATGAGGGGATGTGACTGCCTGACTGCCAAATCTGTTGGAGCTAATTTCCTGGCAAGATCAAAAGCAGTGGATGTGTAACAAAGTGGTTTTGTAATAAAATAGATTTTTAGCCATATTCCAAATAGTTGAAATCTGGGAAGTTAATGTTTTATTCCTTTCTATTGCATAAACTGGAACATCCAAAATGTTGTTTTCCTTGTTTTAGGCACAGCTTCACTGTTATAGTGTATATCAGACTGAAGTGACAAGATACTTGTAGAACTCCAGAGAAACAGGCTACAGGTGTTTTAATTTAAAAACCATGCTCAACTTTTGGTTTTGAAAAGTTCAGCAGGTCTCTCAGGAGTTGTGTAACAAGTGCTTCTGCACTGCAGTTCACAATCATGAACAACTTAAAGCAACAAAGTTTGAACTGTGCTGAATTTAGTTTCTAGACGCTATACAGAAATGGTCTAATGTATCTGCACAGGGAGAGCAAGTCAGAGCAAGTTCCAGGGAGGCAAAGTAGAAAATGACTTTACTGGATACAGTCTTGAACATCCCAGCTGTACAAACGCTTTACAGCGTCTCTTTCAAAGTCCAAAACAAATTCTTACAGAATCATTTACTTTTTTTTTTAACACTGAAGATTGAGAAGCTTACCTTAAAAATACCAAACTAAATTTACAAGGTATTTATTTTCATATGCATTTAGCAAGCTTATACCTTACATTTGGTTACTAGAATTCTATGGTCACACTAAATAGGTATAAATAAGACTTCACTCTATGAGTGCTCTCACTCCATTGCTCTCTATCAGTGCTGAATTCAAAGACATCTTCAGCGGCAAAGCTCCACAGCCTCTTCGACCACCCACTGTGAGGTGTAGATTAAGAAAGGCTGAAGCGTTGTGGGGTTTTGTGAATTAAGTAACACGTACCGTAGATATGCACCCAATGACAGTGGAAAGAAAATCACAGGCACAGCCATGTACTGTACTCAATGAAAAGCACCTTGATTAAAACTATGACACAGCTTTGGAATGTGATGACCACTGTGATTTCTACACAGACCTTGAGCTATACTTCTTAATGGGAGCAGATTCTCTCTTGAGTCTAAAGGTCACATTGCAGGAGGCCTACTCCCATTGGTCATTTTAATGTCTTTTCTCCTTCTGGAACAGGGCTCTGGTTAAGATATTAATAAGGCACAAAAATATGACCATGGTGTGTCAGAATTCCAGCCACTGGCACAAGTGGCACCAGTCTCATCACTGCAGGGTGCACAGAGAGCACAGGAAATCAGAGCGCAGCTTCACTGCACAAGGGGGAAATCACGCAGCTGTAGGTTCAGTGCGACAAAATGTCAGCATTACAAAATAGAGAGGGTACGAGAATATCCGTCTCCTAAAGCGTGGAGAACAAACAAGGTCCTTATTCCAGCCATGCAAGGCACGGCCCATAAAAACATCAGAGAAGATTTTTAATTCTACCATCGCCGGACACACAAACTGTTAGAAAAATCCAAACCCTTCAAAAAAAAAAAAAAAAGAAAGGTCTGGGTTGTTCATGCTTCACAGCGGAGTCTTCTCCCCCCTGTCCACCCAGACAGGCAGCACGCGGGGAGGACAGCCCACAGCTGCGCTCACGCAGCGACGCTGCAGGCCAGGTGTCCCCAGCGCGTCCCGCCGCCAGAGGGCTGCAACACAGCCTTCTGCTGGTCTCCCAACGACAAGGGGGGAAAGGGGGGTAGAAGGGTGGGGGAGGGATGATGTGCAAACAAGCCGCCAGATAAAACAGCAACTGCAGTGGGAGGGTGGGGGGGGAAACGTCACTTCCTCTTGCTTTAGCGGGAGCGCGCGGGGCCCTGCTGGCGGACGCAGGTCCGAGGTCAAAGGTCATTCCCGCAGCTCCCACAGCAGAGGGCGCTACACGAGGCTCCCCGGCCAGGACACCACCGTCAGGGTGACCTGGTTCTTCTGCAGCTTCAGCATGGGGATGAGGGAGGAGTTGTTCATGCCTCCTGTGGCGGCTCCGTTCACTGCCACGATCTCGTCGCCGCACCTGCGAACGGCAGGAGGCAGATCAGCGAAGTGCGTTCAACATGGCTG